ATATATATTTTTTTTTTAATAGAGTAAAAGGATGGAGGCAAGAATTGACCTAATTTTCAGGCCATAAATTTAGAAAAATACTTCATATTGGCTTATAGAGGTATAATTATGAAAATTATTTTAATACATATAAAAAAGATTTTAACAATCATTTCCTTTCTTCTTCTTCTTCTTCTTTGTGGTGGTAGTGCTGGGGATTGAACCCAGGGCCTTGTGCATATGTGGGAAACTACTAATTGAGCTATATCCCCAGCCCTTTAATTCCTTTCTAAGACTCAAGTACAAAGGCTGGTTCTCCCACATACTATAATTTGAATAAATGATGTAATTTCTCAGAGCTGGCTTCCTCATTTGTAAAATGGACATAGTGTTTGACAGCATGGTTGTGGAAAAGGAAGTAAGATAACATAGGTGTGAAAATGCTTTACGATACAGTAAGCGCCTTGCTTAGCACATGCATGAGATTTAAGTTGTGGGGTTATAGAAAAGAGTTTTAATTCTTATTTAAATAAGGAGTAGAGTTACAGTATTACCTAGAGCATTTAGCACAGAAATATATATAAAAATAGCAAACACCTTATAAAACTTTCTCTATATAAATTTATGTTGATTTACCTTTTTTAAAAAATATTTTTATTAGCTATTGATGGATCTTTATTAATTTGCTGATATGTGGTGCTGAGACTCGAACCCAGTGCCTCACACATGCTAGGCAAGTGCTCTACCACTGAGCCACAACCCACCCCATGTTAATTTACCTTTTAAAATTTATTTAAATAGTTCAAAAATGAAGACAGTAAAGGGATGTGTCAGAAGTCTACCATCTCTGGCCCTTTCCATCTTGTTTCCTTGTCCTGCTCTTTATGGAGGAAACACTTTTGTTTCCTGCCAATATTCTTATACAAATGTGAAAAACATATGAATACGCATCCTCTAAGCACTATTATTTGCAGTGCCATTGTGAATTCTGACAGCACGTGGTTAGTCTTCAGTAGCCAAGAAGTAAATGGATCAGTTACACAGCAATCACTAAGCTAGGACTCAAATCTAGGCTTGCCTGCAACTACCTTTGGGCCCGGTGAACTGTGAATTAGGGTAAGTCTTCCAGAAAACTGTGTATAGAGCTGTGTTCTTAAAAATATCTGCTTTTCAGATTGGTGGATCAGACAGTAGCCGACTGACTTCTCGTCTGGGGAACCAGTATGTTAATATCATGAACATGCTTCTTTTCACACTCCCTGGAACTCCCATAACTTACTATGGAGAAGAAATAGGAATGGGAAATATTTTAGCCACAGATCTCAACGAAAACTATGATGCTGTAAGTTTAACACAATTGAATCATGCACCAGAGCATGTCCTTTTGCTAGTCCTAGTCCTTTTGCTAAATCAGAGATTTTACTTTTCTATTCCATTGCAGCAAATCAGTTACTTTGCTTTTCTTTCTTTGTGGTTAGTAAGAATCATGAGCTTTCTTGTTTTGGGAGCTGATTTCTGAGCTGCACATTTAAATTTATTGAGCAGAGTCAAGTAATCTGCATTTTAAAAAAAGATTTCAAAAAAATTATTTTGGTAGCAGGGATTGAACCTAGTGGTGTTTAAACACTAAACTACACCACTCCCTTTTTTATTTTTTGAGATGGGGTCTAATTAAGTCATCTAGGGTCTTACTAAATTGCGAGGCTGGCCTTGAATTTGTAATCCCCCTGCCTTAGCCTCCTGAGTTGCTGATTATCGGTATGCAGCACCACACCTGGCAAGGAATCTGCATTTTAAAGATGTTTTCTAGCTGATTCTTAGACACCAGAATTTGAGACCAGTGGCTTTATTTGGAATATTATTCATTTCCCTTTATCCAAAACATGGAAAGCTAGAATATTTCTTCAGTTTTTATTTGACCTGCTAGATCTAATAACTGTAGTAGTCTTATATTATCCAGTGTTTAATCCAGAGCCTCACAGTTAGCTTTTCCTTAAGGATAAGGCTCTCATAATTGTGTTGCTGACACTTCTCAGAGGAGGACATACAATCAATCAACAAGTACATGAAAAAATGCTCACCATCTCTAGCAGTCAGAGAAATGCAAATCAAAACCACCCTAAGATACCATCTCACTCCAGTTAGATTGGCAGCCATTATGAAGTCAAACAACAACAAGTGCTGGCGAGGATGTGGGGAAAAGGGTACACTTGTACATTGCTGGTGGGACTGCAAATTGGTGCAGCCAATTTGGAAAGCAGTATGGAGATTTCTTGGAAAGCTGGGAATGGAGCCACCATTTGACCTAGCTATTCCCCTTCTCGGTTTATTCCCTAAAGACCTAAAAAGAGCATGCTACAGGGACACTGCTACATCGATGTTCATAGCAGCACAATTCACAATAGCAAGACTGTGGAACCAACCTAGATGCCCTTCAATAGATGAATGGATAAAAAAAAATGTGGCATTTATACACAATGGAGTATTACTCTGCATTAAAAAATGACAAAATCATAGAATTTACAGGGAAATGGATGGCATTAGAGCAGATTATGCTAAGTGAAGCTAGCCAATCCCTAAAAAACAAATGCCAAATGTCTTCTTTGATATAAGGAGAGTAACTAAGAACAGAGTAGGGTCGAAGAGCATGAGAAGAAGATTAACATTAAACAGGGATGAGAGGTGGGAGGGAAAGGGAGAGAGAAGGGAAACTGCATGGAAATGGAAGGAGACCCTCAGAGTTATACAAAAGTACATACAAGAGGAAGTGAGGGGAAAGGGAAAAATAATACAAGGGGGACAAATGAATGTCAGTAGAGGGGGCAGAGAGAGAAGAGGGGAGGGGAGGGGAGGGGAGGGGGGATAGTAGAGGATAGGAAAGGCAGCAGAACACAACAGACACTAGTATGGCAATATGTAAATCAATGGATGTGTAACTGATGTGATTCTGCAATCTGTATATGGGGTAAAAATGGGAGCTCATAACCCACTTGAATCAAAGTGTGAAATATGATATATCAAGAACTATGTAATGTTTTGAACAACCAACAATAAAAAATTAAAAAAAAAAATAATTGTGTTGCTGGCTAGATGACCAATACTGAACCTTTAATTTGTATGAGATCCCGTTCCCTAATACTTGGTTAAGGTAAAACATCTTCTCTGTCAGCTTCAGGATTTGATTTTGCTCATGGGCAATAATAAGGCTGGATAAATGAGTTCAGGCTTGCTTGTATCAGACAGTATTCTTGAATTTGCCACAACTTTACCACAGAGAACATAGCATGAATCCATAAGGGCACATTTAAAAATCCCACATTTCTAATTTTTCAGAAAAAGCAGCAAAGATTCTAAGTATGTTAAGGTTTATTTATTATGGTCTATTCAATCTTAAGATACTATTAGATATTTCCCAGCTAAAACTTGTTTATGTATTGAGTGTTAAGGCCTTTTCATTATGATTAATGAACATACACATTAGTTAAGAGCTGTAGGGAAGCAAAATTATTAGGTAAATCAGAAAGTACCAAAGTATCTTTCTTTTAATAACTTGACCATTGCTTTCTCTTCCTGGTCTCTTTAACACAGAACACTCTTCTCTCAAAGTCACCAATGCAGTGGGACAACAGTTCAAATGCTGGTTTTTCTGAAGGCAATCACACCTGGTTACCCACCAATTCAGATTACCATGTTGTGAATGTTGAGGTGAGTATCAGTGAAAATTTGTTGATTCTAGAAACAAGAAATGAGTTTTTGTATTGACAACACAGTCAACCTGAGTGTGTCTAAAACCTTAACTGTCAGAGACTTCCCTTGCAGGGTCACAGAAAAACTTTAAAAATAAAGATATAGCAGGCAAATAGTAATAGAAAACAAGCTTACAACTTAGCTGTCAAACAACAAGCTGGGTGCGATGGCACATGTCTATAATCCCAGTGATTCAGGAGGCTGAGGCATGAGGATCCCAAGCTCTGAGGCCAGCCTTAGCAATTTATTGAGGCCCTAGGCAACTTAGTAAGACCCTATTTCAAAATAAAATAAATAAAAAATAAAAAGGGCTGAAGATGTGGCTCAGTGGCTAAGTGCCCCTGGGTTCAATCCCCAGTACCAAACAAAAACAACAAAATATATATATATATATATAAAATATATAAATGTATATTTATATAGCCTAGATAGATATTATTTATATATTTTAAATGTATTATTTAAATAAATACATATTTTTTTTTGAGTACAGGGGATTGAACCCTGGGGTACTTAACCACTGAGCCACATCTCCTGCCCTTTTTTTCTTCTTTCTGATGCTGGGGATTGAACCCAGGGCAAAGCAAGCACTCTACCAATTGAGCTATGTCCTCAGCCCCCCTAGTACTTTTTAAAATATTTTATTTAGAGACAAAGTCTCATTGAGTTGCTCAGGGCCTAGCTAAGTTGCTGAGGCTGGCTTTGAACTTGTGATCCTCCTGCCTCAGCCTCATGAGCTGCTGGGATTATGCTCAGCCAAAAATGTATTTTTTAACCTAATCTTTCTATTCTTAGGTATTTGTGCCTCATTTGCACACGTGCAAAATGAGAAATATGTAAGGATCTTGAATGAAGCATTGTTTGTAATAGCAGAATACTCTAGAATGATTTAAATATTTTATCAATAGAAAACCAGTTTAATCAATTATGGGACTAGTATGTAGCTTTTAAAATGAGAATATGAGAATAGTTGCAGTGATCTGAGACCGTTTCTAATATGTATTAAATAGTATAGAAAGTAACATGCCACCAGTTATGTAAAGAAAAAAATGTCAACCTATGATTGCATAGGCACAGAATTATTTCATATGATACATTAAAAATGAAAGACTACAAACAGTTAATAATGTCTGGGAGGGAAGCTTGGAAGCTAGGCAATAATGGAAGAAAACCTTTTCATTGTATACATTGGTCTTGTACTTGAGTTTTATACTGTGTGCATGCATTTCTCTAGTCAAAAAATGAAGATATGAAAAGCAGGTTTGGAAATATTTAATAGCAGACAAAATAGAATTCAATATGAAAAGCATTATGAGACAAAGGCAGTCAATTTCCAAAAATTGAAAAACAATAACAGTCCACTAAAAATTATGAATCTTTATGTAACAGTAGCTTCAAAATATATAAAACAAATACTCTGAGAAATGCAAAGAGAAAATTGACAAATCCATAATTACAGAAAGAGATTTCAAATTAGATAAAAATAGTAGCTGACACTGAGCACTTCTTATGTGAGCGGCACTGAACTATGCTTTTCATGCATTACCTACAGCTACAGAAAATGTTAGTAATAACTTTGACAAGTCATATACATGTACCATAAATACTTTTGTACCTGATAAACAAAGAATACACTTTTTTCCCCAAAACACCCATGAGATATTAATTTAAGACACATAATAAGCACCCACCCCTAAACAACAATAACAACGGTAACCACCACCACCCCAGAAAACATGGCTGGCAACAGTACAATGAAATGAACATTGTTGATTTGGCAACAGCTCTTATGAAGAATAATTTGGCATTATGTATTGGATGTCCATACTCTTTGACATAGTAATTATCTTCTGGTAATCTATCCTAAATAAATATTCCTAAAAGTTGGGAGAGGGGAGTGAAATTATAAGAAAATATTGGAAATGCAAATATTAAAATGATATTATGGAGGTTATATAATGATAGGAAAATGCTTAAAATGTTAAATGGGAAAAAAGCAAGAAAAGTACATTGAATTATATATGTTTTATATAGTTGTAACATAAACCTAAATCTTTAATAGACTTATACTGCCTTTTACTGTTAAAAAAAAAAATTTACATTAGTTAACTTTCAGTTTAGGCAGATTTATGTGTGTGTGAATGTGTAATTTTCTGTTCTATCATTAGTTATGCAAGAACCACATCTGCTGAAGTTACAATGATCTCTGCACAGTAGCAACTTATGTGATCCCACAAGAGAGGATAAGTAAGCCCTAATTCATCAGAAGTTCTAAATCCATTGCCTTAATGGCTTTTTTTTCTCTCCCAGGCGTTTGGCAGTTATAATACAGATAGAATAACTTCATTTAGGCAAGTTCAGTATCATTAACTTAGACATGGACATTTGTTCGGAAATCTTGAGTGGAGTCAAAGTGTTTCTGCAACAGTTTTAAGATGGAGCACAGCAGCAGCTCCCAGTTAAGCTCAAAACCTGAATTTTGTAACTTTGATTGGCTTTTATATAAACTATTCTTATGTACTTATTAATGCTTATAATTTGGCAGTTATTTTAAGGGAAAAATAAAGTAAGTTTTGGGGGAAATAATTCCTTTAGATAATAAAATATTTTTAAAAATTCTTGTAATCAACCATTTATGTAAGTGTTCTTTTTAAAAAATAGGTCCAAAAGACTCAGCCCAGTTCAGCCTTGAAATTATATCAAGAATTAAGTCTACTCCATTCCAATGAGTTGCTCTTCAGCAGGGGCTGGTTTTGCCTTTTGAGGAATGACAGTCACTCTGTTGTGTACACAAGAGAGCTGGATGGCATAGACAAAGTCTTTATTGTGGTTCTGAATTTCGGAGAATCAACACAGCTAAATCTACAGGAAATGATTTCAGGTCTTCCTACAAGACTGAGAATAAAATTAAGTACCAATTCTACCTCCAAAGGCAGTGAAGTTGAAACACATGGCGTTTTTCTGGAGAAGGGAGATGGAGTCATCCTGGAACACAACACGAAGAACCTCTTTCATCACCAAACTGCTTTCAGAGATAAATGCTTTGTTTCCAATCGAGCATGCTATTCTAGTGTGTTAAACATATTGTACAGCTTATGTTAGGAACTTCTATGAAAGAGATGGGGACACTGGTATTTGGTTGTGTTGTAACTTCATGTATAGCATGCTGCTGGGTAAACTTCATCTAATTCTTAAGATATTTCGGTAGCTTGAATGTAACTATTTTAGGAAAGGTTCTCAAATGTTGGAAATAATAATAAAATGTTTAAAAGAAGATTGTTGTTGTAGCAACTTTTAACTTTGAGCTAACACTGATAAGCAATGATTAGAATACTGTCAATCCTAAGATTATTTGAAAGCTCTAAAGCATTTAAATGACAAAAATGTTTAGCTTTTTTATTAAAATGTATTCAAAGAAACTAGAAGAAAGATTCAATGTCCTAATGTCTATAAATATTTACTAACAAAGAGGAAGGACATCGATTTGTAAACTGTTCAAAGAAAATCCTAGTAAAACAGATAAGAACAAAGTACTGATTGGAAGGGAGGCCTGGGATTCTACAGCCTCCACTCTTTTCCTCATTCTTTTTAGAAGTGGTTGGACACAATACCTTTATTTAATTTATTTATTATTTTTATGTGGTGCTGAGGATGGAACCCAGGGCCTCACATGTGCTAGATGAGCGTTCTACCGCTGAGCCACAACCCCAGCCCCTTCCTCATTCTTTTCTCCATGTATTTTTAAGGAAAATGGTTTAAAAACTGCTTTCCCTATGCTAACAGGCATGTACACCAGTGGAAGAGAACAGTATAGCAACTGTAATACAGACTTCGCAAAATCTGGATGGAGAAGCAACTTTAAAAATATCACCTAGTAACTTAAAATCTCACTTTTGCTAGTAACCCAATTTGGAAATAAGACTATGAAATATTTCAGTGTGTTTCCAATTCCCCGTTGAATGTAACATTTCAGAATTTCAGGTATTTCTTAAGATCCTCGAAAACACTGGTGCTGTCAAGTCCAAGTTCCTCATATAGGAATTTAATCTGGGCTGTAATCTAAAAGAAACACATTTTAATATTAGATAGAAGGATTTTGTGGTAAAATTCCAGTGTTGTGATTCTTTCTTGGTTTATCCATCTTCACCTAACCCTCAAGCCAGCAATTTATGGCAGGAATACTTCTATTTGGGATGGAGACAGAGGCTTCCAATGATCAGGACTCAATTACCTTCTTTAACAGAGCTCCTTCATCAAGTACAGGAGAGAACCTTTTCTCTTGCTTGACTCAGTGACCCACCCTCCCCTCCTGGGTCTCAGCTAGACCTGATACTTGTGAAGTAGCTCTGTCATAAACCCTGTTATAACCACTGAAAACTTTGAATATATACTTCTCTGTGGCTAACTGAGAAGGGCTATAGAACATACCTTTTTGTGAGAATCTTCAATCACATGATTTCCTCCAGGCTGAATATCTAAAATAATATTGGGGGCCTGATAGCCTGAAAGAGTTAACACATCAAACAATTAGGAAGTCTTTAGAGGATTGAGACACATTTCTTTCTTTCTTTCTTTCTTTTTTTTTGTACCAGGGATTGAACCCAGGGGTGCTTAACTGCTGAGCCATATCCCCAGCCCTTTTGTCTATTTTATTTAGATCCAGGGTCTTACTGAGTTGCTGAGGGCCTCACTAAGTTTCTGAGGCTGGCTTTGAAGTCACGATCCCCCTGTCCCAGCCTCCCAAGCCACTGGGTTTACAGACTGGTGAGACCCACTTCTTCTCTTTTAAGTACTTTATTCAAATAATAGCAAAGGAATAAGGGCAAAACTACCATAATCACCACCAAAGAGAGGGGAGGGGCAAGCAGCAGAAGACAAGTTTCTGAATTAGGGCAAGTGGGAAGAGACCCAGTGGCTAAGATAGCTGGATGGAGGGGCCATGGCACCATATGGAGAAAGATGTGACTGAGGAGGGAGTCAGCAGCTCTGTGAAATGGAGAGATACTGACTTATAGGTAGGTTCCCTTGGCATATCTTGGCATGCAATTTCAAGGCAAAAAGGAAAAGTTCTTATTTAATAAAAATGAAAAGAACATCTAGAAGAAACTAAACAGCTAGTTTGGGCACTGAAGCTCTAAAGCAAAACTCTCAGAATCTTTCACAGATTCCCAAGAATAATATCTCAATAGATATCTTTAAATGAATAAATAATTGCATGAGAGTACATTTCTAAGTTTACAGTTGATATTTAAATTTACTTTTTCTTTTTGTCCTTTGAAAAGAGGTGAGACTATTATATACACTTTAGCTGTGTAGTCAACAGAAAAAAATGATTTGTCCTCAATCATGGTCTGATGATTTGGTCTGAAGCTTGAGATGTACTCTGAATGCTAAGGGTTCTAGTCCATCTAGCCACATTCCCTAGGTCCTGGAGTCTCCTACCTTCACCTGTGTCCTTAGTATGCTCCATGACGGCTTCCTTCAGTTTCTCAGTATAGTTAACAATTCCTTTCAGAGGTACACGTTCATCGTTTTCATAAGCTGTGATGTGAATCGAAGGATAATGCTAAAAGAAAATACACGTATGAAGAGTTCACATTACTCCTATGGTCTCTTCCATTAGATCATGAAAAAATAATTGCCTCCAATTTTTTCCCAAGTGTTAGAGGTTTTTTCTCATTTAATATTCTTGAGCGAGCCTATTTGTTACCTAACTTATTCTTGTCTGAAGAGATCATAACTTCATCTCATCTAGTAATTAAGGTATAATAATTATTTTCCTGAAGTATTAAACTGAAAAGACGGAGCATGAACACAATGGTGCTGAAAGATGTTTGGGTATCACAGTGGAGACATCTCTAAAACCCCTGCCTACTCTTGCCTCATCACAGGTAAGCATCCCTTTACTTTCTCTATTACGTCAGGACAGTATATGGCAACCACATTTTTCCTACCTGAGGTTTAATATTTTGATAGGGGCAGTAACGTTTTATGTAGTTCTTGTGCTTTTCATCAGATGAAGGATTCCCCCACTCTTCTAGTTCTTCTAATGTCAGAGGGAGTGTAGTGTCCATCATAGTATTGAGAACATCCAAGAAAGGTGCCTAATAAAAAAAGCCAAAGAAACTTCTTTTTCATCTAAGGAGTTGGCAATGTAAGTTTCAGAAAAATGTTACTTTAAAAATATGCATACTGACACAAGAGAATATATCTCAAGAAGCCATGTGGATTCCCAGAAAATCTGGAAAATATCCAAGGTAAGAGAAAACGACCACTGACTCCTTGGTTTACATGCTTTTCAGCTTTTTCTCTTATTACCAGTCACCACAGCTAGTGGGCTCATCTCTAATTCCTGTTGGCTGCTGAGTCTCTGAATGCTTTTCCTGCATTTGGAAAAATGCCAACCTTATTGGACACAACCTGTCTCTCACTGTAGAGATATTAGATGTATCTCTTTCTTTTTCCCTGAAGCTTAAGAGTAGCAAATTACATAGGTGTCACAGACATGTGCTCCAGACTCTGGAAAGTCCATGATTTAAAGAAGTGCTGATCACGGTGAATTTCTTTGCAAAACTGTGACATTGTCTCCAGTTTGTAGAAGCTGCACTGTTAGCGGGAGGTGATTTGTGCTTGGCAGTGGCAACTCTGTTGGGCAGTTCTGTATCTGCCCGGCAGCCTCTGACATTGGTTCTGAACACACATACTCTGACCTAACACCATTTGATAAAACCCCTTTCTGCTTGAATCAGAGTTTTTGGTGCTTGTTATTAAGAACTTTGACTCATACATGAATCCTCCACTGTTGGATGTTTTAGGCTATCTCTAATTCTTCACTAGGATAAGCAACCTGGGATAAATCCCTATACACATATATTTCTGATGGTGTCCTTTCTAATATCTAAAAATAAAGGTTAGTACCATTTTCTTTATATTGTAAATGATTCTGCTATTACTATCTTTGGGGATAGCCCCTTGCCCCCATAATTTAGTGTAGCTGTGTATTTTTTAAACAGATTTATAGGGGCTGGGAGTATAGCTCAGTTGCAAAGCACTTGTCTAATGTGCACGTGGCCCTGGGTTTTATCCCCAGCAATGCCAAAAAGAAAAAAAGAAAGAACTTTTAAAATAGATTCATGGATTAGGGCTATTTAAAATTTATTTATTTACAATAAGCCCACACTGTATACCCTTCGCTCTCAATACAACACTGAAAAACCCTGAAAATAATTTAGTTTCACCATTCCAGTCATTATTTTCCAGAGTAACTAGGAAACAGGAGAATGATAGAGGTAAAATCAAATAGCTATAATATAGCTTAATAATTCTGAACATTAAGACAGCAGAGCATTTTTAGAACAGAGTATTTCAACTAAAGTACAGGAAAACTATACCTCAAAGACCATTAAGAATGTAGTATTTAAAAATAGCCCTTAAAATCAGTACTAAAATGTTGATGGGCAGTGTGTTGAACTGACTAGTATGAGTCACAGGGTACACAGCATTTGGTCACAGATACCCCACCCCCTTGTGGAACTGTGAGGCACAGATGCTTCATCTTTTCCCCACCAATTCTAAATACTCAGACAAAGAGAAAATGATCAATGGGAACAGCCACTAACCTTTTAGTGGAATCCTTACAAATTCGTAAAGAACACTGTCAGAGAATAATATGTACAGAGTAAATACTGTGATTAAAATTATTTTAGAAGTTTTCCTAGATCTACAATTTTGTTTAAACTGAAAAGCTTTGTTACATTCCGAGGCTGTGGTAAAACCATAACAGATTTTTTTTTTTCTTTCTGAGTCTATGACTCAGGCCTCCATTTTGTAAGCAGAGTGTACTTACCTCCAAAGTCACAGCTCTCAGGATCTCTGGACTAGAATTACACAATGCTCCCACAAGCACCCCTCCAGCACTGAAAGCAGTCAGGGTTGTTAGACTTGGCTGAGAAAAGCCTTGGCCATGAAGCGTCTTAATGCAAGCCTCTAAGTCAGCAAGGCCATTGAGTTTTTTAGTTAGTCGGCCGTCAGCATGCCACTGGAGGCCCAACTCACCACCACCCCTGAAATTAAAGGGCGAAAAAAAGTTTTAGTAGAAAAAAATGATACAGATGTAGGTAGAGGTCAGCAAATTATAATTGGAAGCCCGTTTTTATTTATTTTTTTTAATGGATCTCCAGCTAAGAACTGTTTCTACATTTTTAAAGGCTAGGGAGAAAATAAGTAGGAGGATGTAACAGAGATAGTGTGCAGCCTGTGAGGCCTAAAATGTTTACTATGCAGTTTTTTTTGGTGTGTGTGGTTTTGGGGATCAAGTGGAGGAACCCGGTTATCCTCTAACACTGAGCTATGTTCCCATGTCACTATCTAGTTCTTCAGAGAAAAAACTTAATAACCTCTAACATAGACAACAAAAGACTGATCCAATAAATAAGTTTTGAGTGCCTGTCTACTACTTATCAGAGGTTGTCTAAGTGCCTGCCAACCTTATAAACAAGAAAACATCCCCACGGAGATCAAATTTTGTGAAGAAAAAGTTACTATAAGCATTGTGGTCACTGCTGTAACAGTGTACTTAGGTATCACAGAGCAGAGGAAAGAACATTCCACCCTTCACATTAGGAGTAATGTGAAAGAAGAATATGAGTTTTTAGAAAGGCCTCAAGACAGAAAAGATACAACATGTAGAAGGGCAAGGAGGTGGCAGAGCATGTAATTTGAAAGGACATGATAGATGCCGCTAGAGATAAGCCAAATCATTGACAGCATTAAACTGAGGAATCTGGATGTGTTCTGGAGGTGAAGTGGGAAGGACTTTCAGCAGAAAAAAAATTATATTTGTGTTATATGGTGGTATATGCCTGTAATCCTACTGATTCAGGAGGCTAAAGCAGGAGCATCACAAGCTCAAAGTCAGTCGCAGCATCTAGTGAAGCCTTAATCAATTTGATGAGACCTTCTCTAAATAGATAAATAGGGATGGGGATATGGCTCAGTGGTTAAGTGTCCCTGGGTTTAATCCTTGGTACCAAATTATATATATATATATACACACACACACACACACATACATACATACATACATGTAATATATTTTTGTCTTGAATACAACTAAAATAAAATGGAAGTTAGATTGGAAAAGTCTGGTATACAAGGCTGTTTAAAAAAAAACCTAAACTCCAGGAAATCAGATGGAAATAATAATGTAACCATGTACAGAGACTGATACATATATTCAAGAATCTCCAAAGCCTATCCTTTTGCTCTTTGGTTCATATAATCTGTTACTGAATCAAATTCTACGGAGCACAGGATTTAGGAGTATATATAACTAACACTACAAAAGAGAAAGTTTTTGCTCCCCAATATATTGTTATTTTAGATATGTTACCACGTTTTGGAACTCTCATGCTAGGTGTGCTGACTTACCTAACATGGCAATATGCTAATATCCATCCATCATCTACCAAGACCCTCCTCTCAGGTCTGAAATTCATTTTCAAATCCATTCCATAAGCTCCATATACATGTACCAGGAGAGGTTTCTTCTGTAAATCCTCAGAGTCTGTTTTGTGGAAAATAGTCATTGGCACTAATTTTCCATCCTGGAAATAAAGAATAACTATATATGTAAAGAAGTGACTTTTAAAGCAGTGTTACCCCTACTTTAAAATAAGCTGAAATGTACTTTCACTCCCTTATGTGCTATTTATTGGTGTTGAATATAAAATTTATTTAAAATAAGAAGAGTTATGATCTCTAAAAATATATCACAGTTCTTGGTTTCAGTAGCCTGACCTACTGTATTAACTTTAGAAAAGAACAGCAAGACTGGTTTGAAAACCTTTTATTAAACACAGCTTTCTACAACAGTGAATCGACTTTTTAAAAGCGTTCTTTATTACTTAATATTACTGTAATTTCTTTCTTTCAGAGCAAGCCAAAATACCTATTAAGTTTGGAAATCCTAGTACAAAATTCTTCCTATGCCTAAGGAATTTCTCATCTTTGCATATTTACAAATAAGGTGACCAAAAGTCTTTATCATTTTCCCATCCTCTATGAGCAAAATTCTAAACCATTAGAACTGACACTACTACAGCCACTCACATCTTCTTCAAATCCCTATTTATCTTTATTAAAAAAAAATTTAAGGGCTTAAAGTAAATTTCATAAAATTTAACAGTTAAGTAGCTTTTAGATCATCTAATATTCCCCTATGTAGCTTAAACTCATCAACCCCAGATGACCATAACCCTTTGGGCAGAAATAATGCAAATAATGGAACTACTTTTGATCTTCCTCATAAAAAAGGATGGAGAAGGGCTGGGGCTGTAGCTCAGTGGTAGAGTGCTTGCCTAGCACCTGTGAGGCACTGGGTTCGATCCTCAGCAACACATAAAATAAAATAAAGGTGTAAAATAAAGGAATAGATATAATAACTGCCCTATTGAAGTGTGCAGTACTTTATTTGATAAGCTAATATAATCACAGAAGAAAAATGCAAAAAAAATATTAATAGAAAAGCATGAATTTCCATATGGAAAAATAATACAACCAAGTCACTTACCCTATTTTTTTCATCTTCATTTTGAAAACTTCAATGTAGGGCAATAAGTAGAGTGTCATCAGATTGGCAGGAAATCTCATTCTTTTCACACTACTATTCGCTTGTGACAGCCCAAGTGAATTTTCACTCTTCAGTAAGATTCATTCTTATAAATCTTTTTATTTTGGGGGGCGGGGATTGAACTCAGGGCACTTAATCACTGAGCCACATTCTCAGCCCTTTTTTGTATTTCATTTTAGAGGCAAGGTCTAACTGAGATGCTTAGCGCCTTGTTGCCAAGGCTGGATTTGAACTCTCAATCCTCCTGCCTCAGCCTCTGGAGCTGCTGAGATTACAGGTGTGTCACCATGCTTGGCTGTATTATAAATGTTGATATAGACTAATTTATATATATAAAAAAAAATCTTGGTCTTTCCATCCCTCTGCCTTTTCCACAACTTCAATTATATAATCAGAAAAAATTGCTGATTGAGAACTTGTGAAAAGGAAGAGATAAAAATAGTAGGTAGTCCCTGTCATGGGCTGGATCCCAGAATTGATCGGCAGCACATGAAATGCCCGTGGAAAGGAATGGCACCTTCCATTTAGCACTGCTTCTCCCCTAATGCCTGAAGAAACCCTTGACTCTACAAGAACTTAGGTTAACTGTTCTTTCCATTTGGGGTAATTAACAACATTTTGGCAGACTGCTATAATCTCATATTTGTAAAACTAAACAAAACCTAAAAGTATTTATCTTGATGACACACAAACCAACCAAAAAACAACTGAAGGCATTTAACTAAATGGTTAACAACAATTTTTTCTAAGAAATGCAGCAAATAGGACTGAAAAGTAGTAATGTAAACACTGTACATTCTGGATTTTGCATTTATTCTAACAATATTTTGCTTTTGCAATTTGAAAATAAGATTAATATTTGCTTAAAATATTAAAAGAAAACAATGGATTAAAGAAATAAATTCATAAGGAAAAAAGGTCTGTTACAATTTCTTTGTTAGAATACATGAAATTACTTGAAATATGATATGCTAAGGTCTGAAAATTCCTTAAATTCAAAGTTAGTTTATTATTTGCATCAATTTGTAAATTCTGTATTTTGCCTATACCTTGAATATGGATTTGTTATTTCCTTTTTTCCCTCTTGTAGTATTATGGATAGAACCCAGGGCATTCCATTAGTGAGCTACTTCTCCAGCCTTTATAATGTGAAGCATTATATTGCTAAGGTTGGCCTCAAATTTGCAGTCCTCTAGCTTTAGCCCGAGTAGCTGGGATTATAGGAGTGTGTTGCCCTGCTTCTTATTTCCTTTTAAATTTCTTCTCTCTCTCTAATGCTGTCCTTAGTAATCTTTTCTCCTCTATTTTGGCTTTTCTATCCTCCTTTATACTTCTTTTTGTGTGTGGTACTGGGGATTAAACCCAGGAAGTGCTATGCCATAGATCTATATGTCCAATTCTTTTTATGTTTTATTTTGAGACAGAGTCTTGCTGACTTGCTCAGGTTGGCCTTGAACTTGTGATTCTCCTGCCTCGGCCTCCCTAGTAGCTGCGATTACAGGTATGTATCACAATATCCAGTCTACACTTCTTTCGTTTTTTTTTTTACACTTCTTAAATTGTATCATTTCTCCACACACTCTGCGCTTTACAGAAAATGAGATCTTTTGCCCCTTTCTAGCTTACTTAGTCATCCTAGAAGTCTTATCTGGGACAATATTCCTCAGAGAAGGCTTTCCTGATCTCTGCAAACTAGCTAATCGCCCTTAGCTGTAAGATTTCACTGCATTCAGTACATCTTCCTTTGCAGCAATCAGTGTTATTAGTAATTATTTATTCAACCTCTGGCATCTTCCTTGTTAGATTTAAGTTCCATGAAATGCCCATGGAAAGGAATGGCACCTTCCATTTAGCACTGTTTCTCCCCTAGCAGCAACTATATTTGTCTAGTTCACCCCAGTCAGCTGCTACCATACCTTCATAATTAATGCCATAACTGCAAACCAACCTTATTTACTTAAAGTTTTCTTTAACTCAACTTTTTAAATTCAAACAAAAACAACACTTGAGATAAAGGGTTTAACATGCTACCAATAAATTTTTTAATTCATGTTAAAATGAAGACATGAGCATTAAAGTTAAAAAACAATCTATGTATTCCCTAAAATCATTTGAGCCTTACTGTGGTTGAAAAGATCAATTGGTGTTGATGTAATTCCAGAAACTGCACAGTATGCTTTTAATAAAGAGGAGCTGAAAGTTGATTCTAAAAGACCTACCTTGCTTTTGGCTTCTAGACGTAAAACACGACTAGTTTTTGTAATTGGGTCCTCATGCCCAGTTTCCTCAAATAGTTTGCCTTCTGCAAACTTATATGTGTAATATTTTGGGGGTCTTATTGGAGAGCAGAGTTGAAAGGGGCAGTTCTTTGGGTCAGAATTTGTATCCATGATGAATCCACAGGCCCAAGGAGGGAGCTAAAGGAATAAAACAGTTATTTTCACTCTATTTCTATACTAAGTATCACTAATTAAGTTTCTGAGTCAGCCTCAAACAAGATGATGTGGACATCTAATTTACTTTCTGTCACCACAAATTTCATTTAAGAATTACATCACCACAACAAAATATGTTTCAAGTAAAAATCAAAACTCTATATTAATGACCAATAAAATAAGGAAAAAATTATAGGAAAGGTTTATATATGATTCTAGATTTACGAGAAATCTCCTTTAACACAGAAGTTTATTTGAGGATGTAAAATTGGGCAGTAAAATAGCAGAATGATTAAGAATTAAGAGCAAATGAAACAGTAATTCCAGAACCCAGCAATAGCCATTCTCACAAACACAAAATCCCTCACAGGTGTGTTTTGCATAATTTTCCACCAGTCCTTAGCCTGCTGCCTGGACAGCCCAGCGATGACAGTTATTATTCCAGGGCTACAAACGGGCTCAGCAGCACTAAAGCATTTACAATTTGTTTCTAACTTTAGCTTCCAGGCTAACCATTGTGCAGAACAAAACCCTTCCACGCACATCTACTCTGAGAGACTCACAGCTATTATGCTTAAGATTCTTAACTTTAAGAAAAAAGGAAAGGAATCAAAATTTATTCTCTTGGATCAGCAGGGTCCAGCTTCAAGCCTTCCACTAACATTCCACTTACACCTTTTAAAGAACTCTGGTAAGCAGGTTGACGGAGTGTTAGAAAAGGTACTAAGAGTCAGAACGTTAAAAGAAAATTGCCTTTCTTTTCCTGAGTAATTGTAGAAAGAGCAAATTCCTTAGAAAATCAGAGGTCTTGGCACAGCAACATCATTGGCAGGCATTACTGAAAAAGGGTAGATGGGGGATGTGTGAATAAAAAGCACACTATTTAACCTGCAGAATCTATACATGAAGAATTTATGTTCACCAAGCAAATTTCTTTTAATTAATCCAAAGAATCTATTTGTGAAACACTACTAAGTACATGCATTTGCAATGTCTAAAAGTTCCTGACTTATCCTCTAAGATTGAGGATTACAGAAAAAAGCAATACTGCAAATGTCATGACCAGGCATCAGAGTGACGGTACAGGGTTCCTTAGTCCACAGAAAAACAAGGTTTTCTGTTTCTGGTGGGACTTTAGGACCATTTCCATATGATGCGTGTATTAAGCTGTCTTAGTTTTAAACTAACTGGCACCAAGATTATAATTCTAATCATGACCAAAACTGCTCCAATGGACTTTATAAAGTTTGACCAGATAATACAAAAGTAAGTTTTAACTATCACTAGCCTACTGAGATAAGCCTGCAGTGAATCTGTTTATATTAATAGACAGCACCCAAATATATATTGGCCAGGTGATAGGCAGACATTCCATATATATTTGACAGAAACAAGTTTGTTTCTAGCACTCTGACAGCATTTAATTCAAAGAATTCTTCAGACATAACATGCTGAAAGAAAATAGTAGGTAGTCCCTGTCATGGGCTGGATCCCAGAATTGATCAGCAGCACATGAAATGCCCGTGGAAAGGAATGGCACCTTCCATTTAGCACTGCTCTTTTTCCAAACAAAACCGATGTTAGTACAATATAAAAAAAATTCCCAATTTATTTAAATTATATATAACCAACTGCCTAATATAACTTCTTTTTGTGGAAAAAAAATGCAACCAGAAAACACTGGTAATATAACAAACAAGTCAGAAAGCAATATAAGATGGGTTTACATTTCCATTCAGTGGCAGAAACACAGGGCACATAACCACTGCCTTACTAAGGATGTGGGACTTGGGAGCAGAAGTCAGTGGCTGGACACTGAGTTACTGCTATACTTACAGTTGTGAAGATATCATATAGAAATATGGAGAAAGAGAAATATAATGACACTTAACTACTTCTGAAGACCATACTGATAGGCAGTATTTTAAGTAAAACTGCATTAAAAGCACGGTCCTCCAAATAATTCTAAAATAAACCTGATAAATATCCAGTATACAGAATTACTTTTAAGAAAAAGGACACAGAAGATGGAAGGAGAACTTCATTGTTATACAGAATACATGTATGATGTTGTAATGAGAAAAAAAAAGTGTGTCACATTAGATTGGATAGAGAGAAAGGATGGGAGAGGAGGGGAGGAGTAGGGAGGATAGGAAGGGCAGCAGAATAGAATAGACAATTTGATTGATGTATGTACATTCCATGTATGTATTATATGTCAAAATGCATTCTACTGTCATGTATGACTAAAAAAATATATAAAAATTAAAAAAAAACATAAAAAGGAAAAAAAAAAGAAAAAGGACATGATATTATTTAAAATCTGATAATCTGTTAAGCTAAACATATATGTATTTTGGTTAACACTACTGTCTTTTGAAAATAAGACATACCTTCAGAGATCGCACTGAATCATCAGCCAGACCAATCACATTAACATAAAGCAGATTGCTGTGTTTCAAGAATAGAACACAGTGATCCTTAAACATGTCCAAGTCTACAACTTTTGTATTTCTCTTCATTGTGAAAAACAAATCCCAATTCATAATAGCAGGGGTATCAGCTGCTGTTCTCATTAGCTGTGTGGAACAAGAAAAAAACCTAGGTAATAAAACATGAAGGATACAGCATCCAAAGATGAAAGCTAGACCATACCAGTTGTCACTATTTTATGAAAAGCGGAAGAAATTAGCTCTGCATCAGGAACGAAGTGTGAACTTCACCCTGGGAATAAGACCAGGCCAGCCTGCTGGGTGGTGAGACCTAGTGCATATGGCAGTGCTTAGCTGACAGCCAAGAGGCAGACATTTAGGTAAGGGCACCGACAAACCAGTGGATTATGGATGCATCGGTGAGTCTAGTGGAGCACAATCCCAACGGCCAACTCGAAAATCTTGAGTTTATAAATTTGCTCTTTTAAGCCACTTAGGTTTAGCTTTGATAACATAATCAGTGTAGAATGTTTCACTTACTAACCTTTTGGGATCAATTAAAATATATAGAGGCACTGATGCTAAGGGAATAGAAATGGGATTGGTTATGTATAGGGAGGCAGCATCAATTTCTAAACTTTTGTAACAAGTCAACAAAACAATCATATAACTCTTACAGCAAGAACTGTTGAGGGAGGTGCCACACTTAACAGTCCGAGAGGAGACAAGTCAGAATCTAGAATTACCTTGAATTCTGTAGGCTCTCCAACATTAGTGAGAATGTACAATTCATCATCTCTGTGTTCAACATAGTAAAGGACCCCATGTATTCGCTTCTGGATAAGTACTGGTGGGTCCCAAGGGCTCAGGCCATCTATCAACCACACTTCAGAAGTGGTCTTGTTCATAATATTTATGGTAAGGAAACGACTATCTTTTGTAAGATAAAGGAAAACAAAATAGCTAGAGAGAGAGAGAGAGAGAAAGAGAGAGGAGAGAGCTCAGTAAATTTCAAATGGGTGCTATCTTACTATTTCATATACATGTTAATTATTTATTTATGATTTATATATTTTTTTAGATGAACATAAGCCCTTTATTATATTTTTTCCTGTGGTGCTGAGGATTGAACCCAGTGGCTCACACATGCTAGGAAAGCATTCTACCACTGAGCTACAACCCCAGTCCTATACATGTTATTTGTAATGCAGATAGAAAGATTTTATAATTCCTTAGTGAATACTTATTGCAAATTTAAAAATTGGTTATTATTTTTCACATTCTCCTCCCAAAGCCATTTAAAATTATTTTTTTTATCATAAATGTTTTTCAAACAGAGAAGTTGCTAAAAGAACTGTAGAGAAAATACCCATTGCTAACATTTTCCTTTATCACCTTTCTATGTATTCATTAATCCATCTTTATTTGGATGCATGGTAAGGCAAACTATATACTTCATCTTTCAATGACATTAATAGATTCTAGGGCTTTCTGCTGAGAAAAGGAAATAAACTTTCTAGAGGAGATATGAAATAGGGAAGAAAAGAGACAGAATGTATCCTTATTTTGTATTTTCTCTGTATCTTAGATTTCTTTTTTTTTACTGTTCTTCTAATTTTTATAACATAATAAAACATTAAGAAGAAAAATCCTCACAAACTCACTAAGATAATACATTTAAAAACTTAATGGAACTTATGTTTTCCATTTTTCCTTTTAAGGTTTATTTATATTTTATGGATGTCTTTAAACAGATAAAATTATACTACAGATGTAAGTTTTGATTCTGCATTTATTTCATATAATGTTGCTACTTCCCCCTACATTTAAATATTTATGATTACTATTATTAATGTCTAATATTCTATCAGGTTGAATCTTAAAATTTAGATTTTAAAGTTTCATTGTAAGAAAGAATATTCATGAATATCCTTTCCTCTTCTCTGGCATTTACAATTATTTTCTTAGTATCCCTTTTTAGGAACTGAAATACTAATTTAATGATGAGTATTTTTATGATTTATAAATATACCCAAAATTAAGGGCATTATACTATTTCATACTGGTACACTAGATGGCTTTAAATGTTATGTTTACATTTTTCTTATTATAAAAACAGTCTAGGTCTAGGGTTGTGGCTCAGTGGTAGAGAGCTCGCCTAACACATGTGAGGCCCTGGGTTTGATCCTCAGAACCACATATACAATTAAAAAAAGGTATTGTGTCCACCTACAATTAAAAAAAATATATATATACATACACATACATATTAAAAAAAGCAGTCTATACTGAAATATTGAAAAAGGTAAAGGACAATGATAATTCTGAAGCCCACTCCAGAAATAAGCCCTATTTATATTTTGGTAAAATTTCTTCTGTATTTCATGTTTTGGTCAACCGTATTTCTTTTGTGCAATGTCTGTGTCCACATTAAATTTGAGATGTAGTTTAAATTCCTGGTAGGTAGGGCTGGGGATATAACTCAGTTGGTAGAGTGCTTGCCTCACATGCACGAGGCCCTGGTTCAATCCCTAGCACCACACATACACACACACACACACACAATTGGTAAGTAAACACATACCAATATGTATATAAATTTATCCTCATAAATTAAGAATAGTAACATATTTTTGATAAAAATACTTTCCTCCATTTTGTTGTCTAGATTTTTTAAATTACGGCATTTAATATTTTAGGTAGGCAAGGATACTGGCACTACGCATTCTAATTTATTCAGTGATTTTATGCTTTGGAAATATTTCAATCAAGGTTGAGTAAAATACTTATATTTTCATCTCTTTCTTTTGGGGGAGTTTCTTTTTTTCAGTAGACTTTTTAAATCTCTTAACATTATATACCAACATGATGAAAATTATTTTTTCCCAAATAGTCAATATTTCCCACAGCATCACAAAATAGTAACTATTTTCATTAGTCTGTCATGTCTCTTTTCTTATCTAAGTTTTCATACATACAAAGGTCCATTTTAGAGTTATACTCTAGACTGTTATTTGTCTGACAATTTATATTACCTTAGTTGTTGTAGTTTCATATGTTTTAGTGTAGGACTGTAGGGCAAGTCCCCTACCATACTTTGCTTTCTATTGCCAACACTTTGTTATTTTTATCTATTTTATTTGATTGTTTTGTGATGATAAGTCAAAGCACAAATTACTTGGTAGACATATAGTTATAGGAAAGTGAGAATACAAGTGGCTCTGTAGTAAAATGTTTCTTAGAAAAAGGAGCAAAGAACCTGAAGGACTAGAGCCTACTCCTTTTTCCCCATTTACTTCTATTGGTACGTTTATTTTCCCAAATTGTTTAAAAAATAATAATGGTTATGATGAAAGATAAGAACAATAGAAAAAAGATCCTTTGTTAGTACTTTGATATATTTTCTTTTAATTTTTTTAAAAAAGATGGATTTTTTTTTTTTCCTTTTAAAATTTAAAAATTTTCAATATACAGCTGGGTACGGTGGCGCATGCCTGTAATCTCAGTGGTTTGGGAGGCTGGGACTTCAAAGCCAGCCTCAGCAAAAGCAAGGCATTAGCATGAGTTGCTTAGTGAGACCCTGTCGCTAAATAAAACACAAAATAGGGCTGGGGATGTGGCTCAGTGGTTGAGTGCCCCAGAGTTCAATCCCCAATACCAACAAAAAAAACCAAAATTATATAATAATTTCCAAAATTTCAAGTTTCAATAATTAAATTTCTTTTTTCTTATTATTAATTGTAGAGGCAGACATTATGCTTGCATGTGTAGCAAACTCCAGTTTCCCATTCTGCAATATTATTTGGATATATAAGTGGTGAGTTTGAAATGATTTGCATGGATTTTTTTTTTTATACTAAGACTTTTTTTTATACCTTTGTTTATATATATACAAACAAATATATATGATTTTTACGTGGTGCCAGGGATTGAACCCAGTGCCTCATGTATACTAGGCAAGCACTTTACCACTGTGCCATAACTGTGGCCCTTGCATGGATTTTTAAAATTGCATAAATATTTAAAGAGATGTATACTCAAAAGGACGAAAAAGACCTGGAATCAAGAACTAAATCTTGGAAGACATTTGGAATTAATATATAAATGTCATTATCAAATCTTGAAGCATCCAAGTAAACCATCACAATATGTAGAAATTGAGCAGGAGATGGTTTGCCCAAGCTCAATCATATGATCAGCATGTAGAGAAGTAAGGAAGTAAGTCTAGAACCCTCCTTGCTAGACAGTAGAAAGGATCATTCCAAGTCAATTACCTTTCTTACCTAAAGATTTAGCTTCTTTGTACCACAAAGGAAGAGCAGGAATGAACAGTTAGCAGGTGCCTGTTTTGCTGCTTACCGCTGCACAATTCTAGGTTACCTTTAACTATCTGGATTTCAACTTACTAATTTCTAAGAACGTTACAGATGTATTTTTAAAATTCCTCATGAACTATCTAAGATGTCAAGTTTTGGTATGGCATGCAGGTTACTCTGAGCCTGCTTCACTGAGATTTTTGGCATTTGGATACCCAGAGGCTTCAGAGACCTGGCCACTTCCTGTGCTTTTCTAATTTAGCCCTGTTCCTGGTTCCTTGACCCATGAATAGCATTCACACTAGAAAAAACAAGTTTTGAGGCCTGGGGAAAAATGGTTATTTTTCAGTGACTTAAAAAATCAGGTCCTCAGGGCTGGGATTGTGGTTCAGCGGTAGAGCACTGTCCCGCACATGTGAGTGAGGCTCTGGGTTCAATCCTCAGCACCACATAAAAAATAAATAAACAAAATAAAGGTATTGAGTCCAACTACTTCTAAAAAATAAATATAAAAAATATAAAATAAATATAAAAAAATTAGGTCCTTTAATTCTGTCTAGATCCTTCCCTTTAGAATCTAAATGGTTCTCTCCTTAGAATATGTAAATTACATGGCTCTGGACATATTTGAAAATAGAAAAGTTAACATTCAAAACGCACTAATCTTGAGGAATATATTAACAGGCATTCTGCCTGAAAATGATTTTTAGAGACACTCTACCACCAAAATAAAATAAAAAAAATTTTTTTGAATACATCTACTGAAGTACTAGAAACAAATATGATAAAGAACCCATCTGGCAGAGGTTTTTTCCTAGTCATATGTGCAATAACAGCTTTTTAAAAAACAGGCAGCCAGGGGCTGGGGTTATGGCTCAGCAGTAGAGCACTTGCCTTGCACATGCAAGGCCCTGGGTTCAATCCTCAGCACCATACAAAAATAAATAAAAAAAATAAAATAAAATGTATATATAAAAACAAATAAACAAACAAACAAACAAAACAGGCACCCAAATCTGGGCTAGTAGGGGCAGATAAAATGAAATGATAAAGTCAGTTTGGCACACTATCTGTAGATTAGTTCTATGGCTCTACTAAAGATTTAGTATATGTAATTTTGGGGAATCAATTTTACCATCATAGATTTGTTGAAGTTAAATTACATTTTTTTTCCCTCTAAAAAATTTATTCAGAAATTGTCCAATCTACACTGTTAAATGATGTATGAGGTCTACCATGTATTTGTGTTTGAAGATAACCAGTCTCTGATTTTGAACATAAACAATTAATAAAAGAATGATCACCATAGCCTTATTATGCAAAAATTAACATTTCAAGTCAACCAACACCAGTACTTCTGTAACTGGAAAACCATTCTGGAGAAAAGGACTTAACTGCATTTTAGTACCTTGGGTCTTTTTCTGTGTAAAAACGTTCATTACGTTTGTTATCACCAAAAGTGGCTCGATATACATCATGACAGCGAAGATTCCTCTGGAAGGTGTAGAATAAAACATCTTCATCTTCTTCGTCCTTCACCCATTCTGAAAGAAAGTAATTAAAAGAATAAGATGTAGTTACCTACATACAGGAAAAAAGAAAATACAAAAAGCATGGTCCATTCTAGTTTTGAGTGCCAAAGAGAAAAGATGTGCAAGTATATATCCCTAGAAATCAAAATAGAACATAGGCTTGACTGTACCAGCCTGTGTTATATATGAGCCTGAGTGTTTTCCAGAAAATAAAACACTACTCTATTGATTTTAAGTTTTCAAGTAGTTTAGTCTCATGCTACTTAAGTTTCTAAATAAGATCTAATGTTCAACATTTAGGAAAGAGACCGATAAAATCACATTTGCTTTCAGAGATGAATTATGTTTAAATTTATAATTTTAAGTCTGAAGAAATATTGGATCACTTTATGACATGCCTCAATCTCTTCTGTGTTGTTTCAAGCCTTAGAACATCTCCAACTATTAAATACATTTGAATGATGGTTCTTCAGAACCTGTCAATGGAAGTCTGCACACAATTACATCATGATTGCCACCTGGCTGATAGTGATTATAAGACATCATATAGTATGCATCCTGATTTCAGAGGTTAAAATACACAAAATATATGTTTTAGAATCCATGTCATAGGGTATAATATCAATTCACTGCAAAGTCATTTAGTAAAACAACGGGGAAAATGAAGGCAATGAAAAGGGAGGACAAAGTATCAATATATCTACCACTAAACTAAAAGATGATTTTATTATTAAAAATGTCACAGCTTCCACTTATAAATCAGTTAGTTCAACATGTTCCAAAGCTCCTTAGTGGTGACTTTGGCCATCTGCTGCAATACTATTGCTTTATGAGACAACATAAAATTAAAAAAAAAAAAAAAAAGAAATCCACACATAAAGTTGAATAAAATGTTAAAATGCAAAGATTTATTCTACATAATAAACTGGCAAAGAATTATTAATATATCAAAATATACTATACAACTAGGACTTTGACTGTAACTCTTAAAAATATGAGCATAGGGGTTGTGGCTGTGGCTCAGCAGTAGAGCGCTCACCTAGCTCATGGATTTCCTATGGACACAGGGACACACACACACACACACACACACACACACACGGTTAAAAAGCATGGTCAGTTCTCTCACTTTTGCCTTTTCAACCCAGACCATTTGGTTGGTGGCTTACCAAAACTGGACACATTTGGGAAAGAAGCTTCCATTACTGGCTGATCACTAAGCTTCACAACTACACAGGTGGATGCTTCAGAATCCTCTGTCCTTATCTTGGCAGCTACATATTTCTCATCCGGAGCAACTCTGATACAATCAATGAAGGGCTGGTCTAATTTAAGTTCCTCCAAATTGAATAAAACTTCATAATTATCATTGTCTGCTGTATAAAGAAAAGTATGAAAGAGATAACTACAAGATGTACTTTAATAGAATTTTAAACTGTATTTTAACTTTTTAAATTAACATTTCCTTTTTGAAAATTAAAAAAAAAATTTTTTAGTTGTTGATGAACCTTTGTTTTATTTATTTATATGCAGTCCTGAGACTCAAACCAGTGCCTCACACATGCTAGGCAAGTGCTCTACCACTGAGATACAATGCCAGCCCTATTTTTTTTAACCATTTCCCTTGTTTAAGAGGCCATATTCTAGTTTCCTTCAACAATGATGACAGTCTGACTGATACATAAACTAGCATTGGTTATTTTATAATACCTTGTGCTACTGACAATTATTCTATGTATCAACCTAGTAATTAGAGACCATATAGAATTTGGAGAGTTAGACAATGCAAATCTAGTATAGAATCTGTCCATAGTACATAGTCAAAAAATGCTGGAACCCATCCCCATTCATTCTGCCAAAGCTTTTGAGTATAGCTGTTAACAATATCCTAAGAAAACCCAAAATTAAAAACTAGTTATTTAAAAAAAATTCAGAAGTAATCTTTAAAAATTATTTTTTATACCTTTGAGAAATTAAACTTACTATAAAAATATAAAATCTGAAAAATCAGAACACATTAATGGGAAAAAAATGTGCTGTACCTTCTTCATCTTTGGAACGAACCAAGCAGCAACCTTCCTGGTAATAAACAAAACCACCATGTTTCACCTGACAATGAAAAGAAACAAATGTTTTACTTAATAACAATTTAATTAACCTTTTAATGTTCTTTTTATCCAAGATGAAGTTAAAAAAAGCAGATCTGTTGAAGTACATAAGTGAACAGATATGAAATTGAAAATGGATCACTTTTTACAATATACTTGGTAAGATATGATTTTCATATATGTTCAGAATCACTGAAGGGGTTTCTAATACTTAAATATAAGAGGAAATGCAAGGCATATAACAAAATCTGTTGGTTCTCATGTTTGTATAAATATTTTAGCTTTTGAAACATCTGGTATCTTCATGGTAGGATCCAATTAATGAAAATCAAATGGCTTCTTCAAAATAATCCAAAATGATGCAGATGAGAAAACTATCTTGGATTAGCTTGAAAACCCAGCTGATAACTTTCTGAGGTTCTTCCCTTTAAAATATGCAGTTCTTCCCTTTAAAATATCACCGATTGTGCAGTGTTGACTTGATTTTATAGAATATCTTGTCCTCTGTGGGGGTGATAGAGTCTAAGACTGAAAAAATAAATACTACTAACATGAACACTATTCCTACATAGTAAGTACAATTTATTGATATGATTTCAGATGGCTTCACATTGTCTGCTAGTTAATGGCATAATCTGAATCAGAAATTTCTACAGCTATTCTACAACATATGTCATTTTCATTTATAATCTGTGACTGTTTTCAGTCAAACTGAAAAAATTTCAATCTCTTGTTCAGTCTATTTCATTTGCATATTTGTGATTGCTAACCATAAAGTGGTTAGCTTTCATAGAACTATATTAAAGTGAATATCCTTTTGTTAAAAAAAAAAAACAGAGCAAGCAAATACTTTCCGAATAATAAATAGGAATTAGTATCATTTGAACTTTCTTTTGAATCTTTTAAAAGTTTTAAATCAGAATTGGTTGCTCCCCCAAAAGCAGAATACATTACATTTCAAAATTTATCTTAGTTTTGATATTTAAATTCATTTTAAGGATCACACTCTACTTACTTACTTTTTGTTCTTTAAATTTTCAGCATATTTTGAAGTCCAAAAGTGGTATAATTTTGACATAAGGTTATGTCTATATCACAAAATATCTCATTTGCAACTTAACTGGTTATATCAGAGTTTTCTTAAAAAGTATGAAATATCCTACCTCTGCATTGATGATTTCATATTCTTCTTGTGGTTGTGTTTCTAATTTTGTTCTCACTTTTTCAAATGCATCCATATTTTCTGAAAGGGATTTTTCGTTTTCTTGTTTAATAGGCAGACGATCCTAGAAAAAGTTTTATTGGTATGATCAAAATATGTCAAATTAGAGGGAAGAAACCCTTTCTTTTAAAAGAGAATCCTTGTTTCTTTTTTCATGCAAGTATCACAATGTTAGGTCCATACTTATGAAATAATGTGTTTTACTGGTCTATACATAAGAAATAACATGTTTCACAGATCTTAAACATTCTTCCTTAAGCTCATCAATAAAAAGATCTTTTTCATTTAAAAATGTCAACAAAATAAGACAGACAATAGTTATACTGTTATTTTAAATGGATAAGTACTTCAGATACAGAACTAAGAAGTTCTGGAGAATGTTCTGAAGTATTAGGAGAAAGTCATATACAATTAAAGAGGAAAGAAAATTTTTATGAACTTTTATATGTGTAATAGCAATGAGAAGAAAAAAAGTTTGCTGAATTTTTTAAGTACCGAAATAACTCTTAAATAGAGGGAAATATATCAAAGAAAAAGGAAGACAAAAACACTAACCTGGGCTGGAAATATAGCTCAGTGGTAGAGCATTTGTTTAGTATGCATGAAGCCCCAAGTTAGTTCCCTGGCACTGAAAAAATTATGGTAAAATTAATGGAAAGCTGGGGATCATGGTGCACACCTCTAATCTCAGTGACTTTGACTAAGGAGACAGAGGCCGGAGGATATCAAGTTCAAGGTCATCCTGGGCAACTTAGCTAGGTGCTTTCTCAAAATAAAAAATAGGGCTAGGGATATAGCTCAGTGGTAGAGCACCCTGGGTTCAATTCCCAATACTGCAAAAAACAGAAACAAAAACAGTAAAAGACAAATTAATGAATATGCTAGAAATAGAAGAAAGCTAAAAAAGCATTCAGTGTGTCTTGCTGGGAGTACCTAATTAAACCAAGAGCTTTAGTTGATCTCAGTGAGCAAATAAATAACGTAAGTCATTAAAATTTGGATAAGGCAAAACCTAAATTATCAAATTAAAAAAATATTTTATTATTCAACATGTCTCCAGTTTGTTTTGTTTAAGCCAAAGAATTCTAGCCAAGATTTCTGACTTCAGCTCTCTGCCAAAGATGACAAGTGTATAGTGATTTGTGCCAGAGGAGGCACCAGTCTTTGGTAAGGCCCTCCAACAGCTGGTACATATTTACTGCACAAGTACATCCGTGATACTTTATGAACACTGTCAAGAAGTAAGCTATAAATATAGTTTGTATTACAATAATTTGTAATCTAAAATTAAACATAAGAATAAAACAGAAAAGTCACCAAAGCAGATTAAATGGAAAATAATCATTTTCATTAAGTATTTCCTTTTATATTTTTTGGAATGCCTTAATGATATGGATTAGATTCAAAATTTCAATAATGGCTGTTATAGTAGTCAATCTATAATCTTTAACCTCTACTTCCAATCATACCATTAATTTTTTGAGTAATTATCTTAAGTACAAATGCCAGATGGCTTATTTTTCATTTATTTATTTTTTTTAGGATTTCTATAGTATCTATGGCTAATCTTTGAAGTAGTGAGGCAAAATATATCAATAATACCCTAATATCACCCAAAGAAACATTAAATCATTAATCAGAAGATTATGAAAAACCTGTCCTGAAACTAGCATAGCAATAGATTGAGTTGCCTTTTCAATTTCAGACACAGGCTTTTCTATTCTGTAATTCCTATGAGTTATTATGAAAGAGGAAGGATAGCTACAAAATGACCTCCCCTATTATCCTGCATCTTCTACCAAATTCTGGGTCATGGAGCTGGGTTTCATTACTTTACAGACCCATTCTTACCAAGAACCATGGCCAAAACAGAGCTAAAAGCAACAGAGTTGGGCTCAATATCTGTCCTCTTAAATTTACATTCCTGTTTAAGAGCAATTGTTAAAGAAAGAAAAGCACTTGTTCCCTATATTCAATGCCTCCAATTCCTCTCCATTTGCCCTTCTTACTCTGACTGCTCTTGTCAAGGTCACTGAATGGCCACATTGAAGACTGTAAAAGTCAATCTTCAGTACTCACATCATATTCATATTACTTGGCCTGTCAGCATGAAGACACCATTGACCACTTCCTCTTTCTAAAACACTCCTTTACTTGGCTTCCAAGACACCTTCCCTTTTACTTCACTGGTCCTTCTCAGTCTCCTTAGCTGGTTCCAACTCAACTCCTTGCCTTAAAATTGGCATGCTTAAGGCTCAGTTCCTGGATGACTTCTCTTTACACTAATTCCTTTGATGATCTCATCCAGTCATGACTTTAAATGCTATTTATAGCCTGAGGACTCCCAAATTTATAGCTGTAGTCTAAGCTTATCCCTGGAACAAGCTGAACTTGTATATCCAACTGACTATTCAACATTTTTACTTGGATATCTAACAGGTATGTAAAAAAATATTGAAAATTGAACTTAGAAATCCTTATATATCCCCTCCCCACCAAAAGAACCCCTGTTGTCTAGGCAGTCAAATGTCAAATATCTGGCTGGAGTTGTGGCTCAGTGGTAGAGCACTTGCCTTGCACATGTGAGACGCTGGGTTTGATCCTCAGCACCACATACAAATAAATAAAATAAAGGTATTGTGTTCAACTCAAAATCCGTCCTTCTAGCTGCTCATGCTTTAAAGTCTTAGTTTGCCTTTGCCTTCTCTCTTCCCATAACTAAGTGATCTGCTAAATCCTGTCAATTCTACATTCAAGGTCTAAATCTGACTATTTCTTCTTCTAAATCTGACTATTTCTTCTAACTTGTACTGGCACTATCCTGGTACTATCATCATCTCTTCTTTGGATTACGCAAAGTTAACTCTCTGTTTTTGCCCATGCCTCCCAGGCTATTTTCAAAAAGGAGCTCAAATGAGTATAAAATGAGGTTTTCTACTTAAAACCTTTCCAATGCTTCCCACCCTACTAAGAAGATACACAAGAATCCTTACAATGGTCTACTTTGCTGACCTTGGCTACTGTAAGTTGAGTATCCCTTATCCAAAATGCTTGTGATCCAAAGTGTTTTGGATTTCATAGTTTTTCAGATTTTGAAATATTTTCAGATTTTACCAGCTAAACATCCCTAATCTTAAACTCTTAAATGCTCCAAAAGATTTTTAAGTATTAAAATTTCCAGGATAGGGATGCTCAACCCGTATTACATATCAGTTGTATCCACTTGACTCCAAATGGGCCACAAAGGCTCCTTGATGTTTCCTGCACACACCAGGCTTGTTTCACCTCAGTTTCTAAGGATTTGCTGTGCCCTTTGGCCAAACACCTCTTTTAGCTATTGCTCAAAAGCCACTTTCTCAACTAGGCCTTCCCTGTTCTAATAAAAAAATCAACCCTCCCTATCCCCCCACTGTCTTATTTTTCACTGTACCTATTACCTCTGATAAACTTTGTATTTCACTCATATATTTCTTTACTATCTCCTTGTACCCTCATCCCCTTGTAGGCTCCATGAAGGCAGAGTTTTTGTTTATTTTGTTCACTGCTATATCCTCAAGGTCCAGAATGGTGCACATTAGGTGTTCAATAAATATGCGCTGAGTTGAATGGAACACAGTGCAAAACATAAAATTTAAACCTTATTTAACAAAAAAATATAAAGTGAAAATACAGAATAGATATAGAAAAGATATCTACAGCTCACAGAAAAGACAAAGAACATATAAAGAACAGTTATGAATCAGTAAGAAAAAGACAAACAACAGAAAAAATGGTCAAAGGCACGAATAAGTAATTCAAGAACATAAAACCAGCTGGGTGGTGGCACATGCCTGTAATCCCAGCAGCCCAGGAGTCTGAGACAGAAGAATCATCAGTTCAAAGCCAGTCTCAGCAATGGTGAGGCACTAGGGCAACTCAGTGAGACCCTGTCCCTAAATAAAATAAAAAACAGGGTTGGCTCAGTGGTCAAGTGCCCTAAGTTCAATCCCGGGTACCAAAACAAAGCAAAAATCATAAAACCAATAATAACGTTAATAAATGTTAAGAAGAAAAATGCTAACCTCATTATTAATCAGGGCAATGAAAATAAAACCACATTGATATATTAGTTATCTGTAAGAAGGGCAAAAAAGAAAGATCTCATAATATCAAAAATTTATCCAGTACACAGAGTTAGAACTCTCACATATTTTACTTTGAATGTATGTTGGTACTATCAATTTGGAAATTAACTTGACCAAAAATGTTAGAATGTGTACATAATCAGGAATTCCAATTCTAAGTATATTTTCTAGAGAAAGAAACACACATGCACAAGGTGATACACATAAGACTGTGATTTGCAGGATTTTTTGCTAAGTTTGGAAATTGGAAACAACCTACACCCACCCCCTGCCAAAGAATTATGGTATACAAACAACACAATCAAATACTATATAAAATTTGTAATGAATAATCTCAAAATCATAATGTTGAGCAAAGGAGCAAATTATATAATCCTACATATATTACTCAAATAAAATTTAAAAACATGTAAAACAATTTAAGTATTATCTGTGGATGCAAACACATGTGTAATTTATATGAAAACATGCATGGAAAGATTAAGAATAATGTTCACCATTGGGGAGGTAAAAGAACATGATCATGAAAGTAGACAGTAGTCTTCAAATTATATTTTTTGTAGTTAAGAAAAATCATACTGAGTAGTGGATACATAGGATTTGTTGTGATATTTTCTATGATACTCTATGTTTTCAACTGTTTATACTAAAAGGTATTAAAAAGGAATGATACTATGAATCAGTTTAATTCAAGTCTAGTGAGACTACTAATTTTCTCACTTAATTTCAGACTCTTAGAAGTTTCAATTTCTTTTTTTTTGTTTTGTTTTTAATTTAGGGGAAAAAAAACTACCCCAAACTCCCAACTTCCTAATTTGAAAACTTACACTAATTGGGATAGAACTGAAGAGTCCAGAAACACACTCATAGGTCAGCTGCTTTTTTTTTTTTTTTTTTTTTTTTGGTGGTGCTAGAGATTGAACCCATGCCTAGAGCATGC